GCAGCGGCTGTTGCCTCCGCAGCCGCCGTCGCAGCAGCTGCATCGGCATTTGCGGCCCCAGACGTCGGCTCGTCCGCGAATGAGACACGGGGCTGAGGCACAGGAATGTGGGCTCCCCCGCCCGTCTGGATCTGTAGCTGGTGAATGATTCCGGCGAAACCCTCGAGCTGAGCCATCATGGCCGAGATCTGGGCCTGGCGCGCTGCCAGGGCTCCAAGGGCTGTGAGCGGCAACGGCTGTGCCGCGCCGCCAGGAACCTGTGGCACGTCTGCGGCACCAGGCTCCCCAGGCGCCCCAGCTGCCGCCTGCGGGGCAGCAGCCCCGACTGGGCCATATGCCGCACGCTTGGCAATGTCCGTCTCGATTTGGATCAGGGTCTTGAGCTCCACGATCGTCTTGTTCATGTGCTCGAGGTCGCGATGGGGCTATCTCTACATCGATGGTCGCCTGCTTCATCTGCGTCTGCAGGTCGTCCAGCACGTCGTGGGCCTTCTGCAGACGCTTCTCGGCCCTCTCCAGGGCCTCCTCCTGCTTGCCAAGCTGTGCTTTGAGGCCCCTTGCACTGAACAGCATAGTCAGGGTCGTCGCAAACTCTAGGACGGCGTCGTCGTAGTCCTCGTTCGCAACGAGCCTGTCGAGGATAATCGTATTCAAGGCCTCGAGCCTTGCTGAGACCTGCTCTTTGTAGACATCAACCTCGGAGTCGGATGCCTGAGGTCCAGGCGGCGCCCTCCAGCGAGGTTGTTGACAAGCAATCTTCGGCAGAGCAGGACGGATGTGCGTCCTTCGCCGACCTGTATTCGTCGCCGCCCTTGAGGTCCATCTCCCACTGCGAGGAGCTCGATGCCATCTCCTGGGGCTTGGCAGGGCTCAGGATGCCACGAGACGGCGAGGCCTCGCGGTGTGCAAGAGCAGCTTTGCCTTTGTCCTTGTCTTTGCCCTTGCCACGGGCAGCAGCACGATCGCGAGGAGGCGGTGCACTGCCAGATTTGCGAGGAGGAGGACGTCTCCACGGAGGTGGCTCGGGCTTCACATTGCCACACTGGTGGCAATCCACTCGCTCGTGCCAGTTCGAGCAGTAGCAGACACCACAGGACCATGAGGATCCTGGTGGCGACCACGTCACAACAAGCTTGGTCATCGCTCCTGGCCGAACGAGACCACGAGGCTGTCGACTGTGATGTCGTTGCAGCAACTTCCTAGCCGCCGCAAGACCGAGAAGCACACGGGCGTAAGCACGACTCGCTCTGGCCCTCCGGTGCCACGCGGGCTCCCCAGCCCTCCCCGCGTGGTGGTGGGGGTCAGCACGGCCGCGCGGCAGCGCAATGGCGGGCTGCGGACAGACGGCGCGTCTAGCAGCTGTCCCGAAGGTGAGGGGCCGCTACCTGGTAGCACCCAGGCCCCTCGAGCCGGGACGGCGGCTGGGAGGGAGGGAGGGAGGGTGGAGGGAGGAGGGAGGAGGGAGGAGAGAGGAAAGAGGGAGGAGGGAGGAGGGAAGAGAGAGGAGGGAGGAGGGATCAGGGAGCAGGGAGCAGGGAGCAGGGAGCAGGGGAGCACGGAGCAGGGAGCAGGGGAGCACGGAGCAGGGAGCAGGGAGCAGGGAGCAGGGAGCAGGGAGCAGGGAGCAGGGAGCAGGGAGCAGGGAGGAGGGAGGAGGGAGGAGGGGGAGGAGGGAGGGAGAGGAAAGAGGGAGGAGGGAGGAGGAGGAGAGAGGAGGAGGAGGGAGGAGGGAGGAGGAGGGATCAGGGAGCAGGGAGCAGGGAGCAGGGAGCGGGGAGCAGGGGAGCAGGGAGCAGGGAGCAGGGAGCAGGGAGCAGGGGAGCAGGGGAGCAGGGAGCAGGGAGCAGGGAGGAGGGAGGAGGAGAGGGAGGAGGGAGGAGGGAGGAGAGAGGAGGGCGGGAGGGAGGAGGGAGGAGGAGGCGAAGGGAGGAGGGAGCAAGGAGCAGGGACGAAGGACGAGGGACGAGGGACGAGGGACGAGGGACGAGGGACGAGGGAGGGAGGGTTTTTTGATTGCGAGCGTGATTAACCACTGGGGCTGACACGAAGGTGCGGCACTCAACTAGATGCAGACGCTGGCTGTGGCAACTGGGAACGATGCAACAGTGCGTACATGCAGCACGGGCGCCAAGGTTTGGTGAATCTCCCCTTCCCCGTCCTGACCCCACGTACCCCCAGATTGGACGGAACTGCACGGGGCTGGCACGACGAATGGCCAGCTCGACGTAGCTCTCATTCTGCACCGGAAGGGAAGGATACGGGGCAAGACCGAGGGGAGGTAAGGTAAGATCCGAGAGGAGAGAGCAAGACTGGGACGCAGATCCAAAACTTCCAGCTCGGTAGGAGGGCAGACCGAGGGGGAGAGTCGCGCGTAGGCTGCCTGACCACTCCGACCCGACTAAAAGCTCCTATAAGGCGTTGCCGCACAAAGAACGCACAACAACAGTTCGTCTTCCTCCCTTCTCTCATGAAACCCCCATCCCCCACAGTAGGTGGCGACGGACGGATCAAGACATACTCTGCTCGCGTGCCGTGCCCTACACGGGCATTGTGGAGGAGAGGCGGAGGGAGGGAATAATATATGAGAGAGGGAGAAAGCGGGCTGGGACACAGACCGAAGTCCTCCTGCTCTCGTGACACGGAATAGAGCTTGGGAGAAGGTTGGGACACAGACCGAAATTCTCCTGCTCTCGTGATGTCGTGACATCTCGACCTGAGCGGGGTAAGGAAAACTTCGCACCCTCGCGATACGGACGAACGACGACGGCGGAGGCAAGCGGAGGCGATTACCTTCGCGCTAACCAAGGGAGGGAGGGGATGCGACGCATGCTGCGGCAGCTGCTGTTCCTCCCCTGCACCTCCCAATCCTGCAATCCACCCCACAAACTCCTCCATTACCAGCGTCAGAAAACGCCACAAGGCGCTGACATACAAAGGCGTTCCACCGCGTGCCGAGCGGCTACCACTGCAGTCTGGTGCCAGCTACTATACGTTCAGCGATACAAGCATCGATGTCGTCTGTTGAAAGGGACAGCCTCGTGGCCGGCCGAGGAAGCGGAGGAGGTGCAGGAAGACATCCTGGACTCACCCACCTACGCACGTGCATCAGAACGATCTCTTCGCTAACTCGGCTGTGTATGGGCTCGCGGCTAAGATCAGGAAGCACATGCGCTGCGACGCGCTGTACGCGAACCCATTTCCACTGCAGATTCATGCCCAATTCCACGACATATTTGCGAAACGGCGGCCTGCTAGAGGGCCGGAATGCCACCAAGGCCTCGCTCTGTAGCTGCTCGGCATGCACCTCTGCGGCAGGCGCGGCTCTCGCAGGCCTGCGGCCAGCAGGTGCCCTGCTGCTGGCGGCGGCAGTCGCCGCGGCTGCGGCTCCGGCGGCAACCTCAGGCAGCTCCGGAGCAGTTCGACGATCGGACTCGAGGCCCGCAGGCTGCCCCGCCACCTCCGCCGCGCGGGCCAGCGGGACGGCGTGCGCCTCCGCGAACGCGTCGTGGAGCAGCTCGGAGGGCGCCTCGATGTTGTCGCTGTGGGGCAGCTCCGGAGGCGCCTCGGTGAGCTCGCCTCCATCCGTAGGCTGCGAAACGCATCCCATGCCGACACTCCGAGAGCCGAAGACTCCGAGCCGAACGTCAGAAAGCGGCGGCGGCGGGGGCGCGCGGGGCTCAGCCGGCGCCGCAGCGGACGGAGCGACAGGCGGCGCGGGCACGCGGCCGACCAGGTGCCCGCAGGGGCCCAGATACGCCGCAAGAGCGCCAGCTAGCGGCGCTGGCAGTAGCGGTGCAACGGGTGGCGCTGCCAGCGGACCTCCAGCACCAGGCGGGGCCACAGCAGCCTGGTAGATCGGCGAGACCACGACGTCCGCGGTGGACTCGGAGTCGGGGCTGGCGTTGTCGACGACGTCGCTGTGCACGGGCTCGCGCTGCACGTGCGCCTCCAGCACCGGCGCTGGCTCGGCCTCTCGATGATCTTCTTGTCGAGCAGCAAGCCAATGAGCAGCGGCGGCATCCGCAAGAGCCGAAACGTCGGCCATACGAGGCGGACGGTGTACACGTGCGGCATAGCCGAGCCTCCGCGCCGCGGCGCGGAGCTCCGGCCTCAGACGGCAGCTGCGACGGCGCCGTCCAGAACGTCTCGTAGGCACGCGGCCAGCCTGCAGCTCGCCTGGCAGCCGCGCCAGGGGCGAGTCGAGGCGGCCGGCGCGCATGGCAGCCAGCCCCGCGCGAGGTGCGCTGCTCCTGGAGCAGTTCCAAACACCTCGGTCCGGGGCGGCAGCTTGAGCCAAAATGGCTACAGAAGGAAGGGAGGGAAAGGAGGGAGGGAAAGGAGGAAGGGAGGGAGAGGAGGAGGAGGAGGAGGAGGAGGAGGAGGAGGAGGAGGAGGAGGAGGAGGAGGAGGAGGATGGAGGAGACGGAGGAGGAGGATGGAGGAGACGGAGGAGGTGGAGCCCAGAGCGGGCGCTCCAGAGGGCCCGCGGCCCATGGGAGGCCGCCCGGCCGCGAAGTTATGTTGCTCCCACGCCGCCAGAGGCCCGCGGCGCCCGGACACCCAAAAAAACGCACACGAGGTGCCGCTCGCTCTTGCGCCGAGGTCCTCTTGGAGCCCTCTTGGGGCATTTGGGGGGCCTATCGGGCCATCTGTAGGGCGTCTTGGGCCGTCTTGGAGTCAGCAAGCGCCGTCTTGGTGGCACATCAGGGGGGGCCCTCTTGTGGCCATCTTGGCCGTCGTGGAGGCGTCTTGGAACCGGTTTGGCGGCCATCCTGTCCATCTTGGAGGCCCTCTTGGGAACTCTTCGGGCAGGAAAGCCGATGGAGTCCACCCCGCCCGAGACCAGCCGAGACCCCGGCTCTTGATCATCGATCCTCGACCCTCGACCCTCGACCCTCGACCCTCGGTCCTCGAACCTCGAGAGTGTTCGAATCGGGCCGCTCGCGGCGGCTTGCGATCGGCCAGAGGCCCCGGCGCCAGGGGGGGGCGGCCGCGCCGAGGCAGACTTTCTGGCGCCACTCGGAGGTCGCGTCCTCGGCGGTCCGCAGCACCGCCACCGGCCTGCTGGGCAGCGTGCGCGGGCTCCTGCGCGAGGCAGCGGGGGAGGGCTCGGGCGCCCACCCGTTCCGTTCCGCAGCGGCTTGGGAAGTCCTCCTCCTCCTCCTCCTCCTCCTCCTCCTCCTCCTCCTCCAAACCCTCGATCCTCCCTTTTCCCCCCTGGGCCACATCGCATCTTCAGTGGAGGAAAGCGTGCACGGGACAAGGGAAAAGGTGCGGGGCGGTACACGAAAGCAGGCACATCACTCCTGTAGAGGTGCCTCGATCACAGCATCACTCGAAGGACGAAGAGAAGTGGAGGGGGGTTGTGGCTCAGGCCAGCTTTATTAGCCACCCCAGACCTCTTCGAGTCGTGAAAAGAATTTCGCGCATGTTTGGCCCCTGGGGAACCTCACTGGGCCCCCGGGGAGGGGGTCCAGACCTCTGGGGGTCCAGGTTTTGGCTCGGGCCCACTCCGTTGTCGTTGCTGCCGTCGTCGGTGTCGCAGATGCCGGCGTCGTCGTCACCGGCAGCGGCGCCGTCGTCGTCGTCGACGACGCCGCTGCCCAGGCCTCTGGCCCAGTGGCGCCGAGGGGAGGCCACAGCAGCGGGCAGTTCCGAAGATCGAGCTTCTGGGGGCCCGCTCCGGGCCCTGGGGGCTCTGTCAGAGCAGCCGCTTGCGACGGAGGGCCCAGGAGATGATGTCGATAGATCCAGGGAGCCACGCCACGAAAAAACACGACGTCGCTGTCGGGAGCGACCCCTGTCCACCAGCCCTGCCTAGCAGGCGGGCTGGCGCGAGTTGAACCCCGATTGCTGCTATGCTGGTTCCAGGCACGTCGAGATCACACAACTGACTGCCAGCGACGTGCCTGGTCCCTCTCTGAGGAAGCAAGAACAGGTTGAATCGCCCGAGTGGCGCGATACCGAGCACGACGTCAGAGGCATGGGCCGACTGCACCCCAGCTCTCCGGAAGACGCGCAATCGAGACCATACGCGCCATCCGCGCAGGATGATGAGGAGGACCAGGAGGAGCACCGTCTGGCGTAGTATCTCAGATGCGACGGAGAATCATCCCGATTGCCATACTACCAGACGTAAACAGGCCACCAGGCAGTCATCGGTCATGCCTCGAATTGATGGCCGGGCATTGGTGTTATTACTGGTGTGCCTCTGGCATCCTTCCTCTAGAGCCTCTAACCACGAGTTGAGCGACTCGCGCCAGGAAGCGTTCAAAAGGGAAGGCGTCGAGCAGAAGCCATGCCTAGGTGTATGTGGATTCTAGCGCTCTTCTCCAGGATGGCATACTAATCGTATCGCTGTGCGAACTGCGTGCCCTCATAGGCGCTAGGACGACCATGGTCGCGCGCGTCCCCGAACAAACCATCAAACCAGTGAGTGACCTCATAGAATAAAGAGCAGGAGCAAGAAGGCACACGCCGAACAAACATCTGAGCCAGGATCCAACCTCGTGCGACCGACAACAAGACGGAACTCCTATATTACATATGAGCCCATCACATTTACCAGGATGAGACCTTCTGAAGCAGGCATACAGTATCCGCACTGCGCTTCGTATCGTTGGCAGTGCAGCGCGAGCCCTCCAAGGTCCTCGCGTCCGAACTTCGTCGAACCCCAGACCTCCGACGTCGTGCTTCCTCTCCTCGGGGGGCCCAGAGCTCTCAGCACCAGATGCTTCGATGGCCCCGGGAGCCGAGGCAGGCCTCCAGAGGCCCGAGGCGGACGAGGGGCCCGCCGCCGTCAGCTCTACACAGGGCTCGAGGCCTGGGCCCCTCCAAGACACCCCGTGGGGCTGCCGTGCTTGCCCGGGTTCCCGGGCGGATCTGGTTGTGGCCACGGGGGGCCTGCTATGATAGGTGTCCCCAGCCCAAAAGCCCAAGATCGGAAACTGCAGCACATACACTAACAGTGGCGGGCTGTTTTTCAACGCCAGGACTTTTGGAGGGTCGGGGCCGACGTCGGGGCGTCGTGGTATTTACTTTTTTCTACCGTCTTCCCAGGGAAACGACGACAAATCTTTACACCAGGATCCCGTATACACCAGGATCCGCTTTCCTGCGCCAGTGCCAGCGCAGGTCTGGAAAAACAGCGTCGGTGTATAGAGTCTGTTTCTCTACAAAGGTGCCCCCCGCGTTTCGCTCCATCGTGAAGGCCCCCGAGGCCCTCGGGGCCTCGCGAGGGGTGCCCTGGAGGCCGCAGGGGTCTCCCTAGAGATCCCGGGGGCACCAGGGGCCAGGGACACTTCCGGCGGCGCCCGAGGCGAGGGCGCCCCAAGAGGCCCCAGGCAAGAATGCCAAAAGTCGGCGGGGCCCCTCGAGCCTCGATCGGCGACGCTTCGCCATGAAGGGAGCAGGGGTCCTGCGAGAGACGGGTCCTAGCCCCTGGGGGGCGGGTCCCCCAGACCGGCTCGTCGTCCTGAGTCGTTTGGAGACCAGGTGGACGACGAGGACGACGAGGACGACGAGGACGAGGAGGACGAGGAGGACGAGGCAGTCCTGGGGCCGCGGAGGGCGTCAGGGGCCCGAGAACGGCGGAAGCATCTAGACGTCTTCCCTCCAGGACCCGCTTCCTTCATGCTGCGCGTTGCCTGTCCTCCTAGATGTGGGGCGTCGAAGAGAGGGGTGAGAACTCGAGGCGTGTGTGTGTATGTGTGTGTGTGTTTGCGTGTGTGTGTGTGCGCGTTGTTGTGTGAATTTGCGTGTGTGCTGTGTGTGTTGTGTGTTGTGTGTTGTGTGTGTGTGTCTCGTGTGTTGTGTGTGTGTGTGTCTCGTGTGTTGTGTGTGTGTGTTGTGTGCGTGTTGTGTGTTGTGTGTTGTGTGTGAGTCGTGTGTGTGTCGTGTGTTGTGTGTGTGTCGTGTGTTGTCTGTGTTGTCTGCATTGCCTGTGCGTTTGTGTCTGTGATTGTGTGTATGCTTGTGCTTGTGCTTGTGTGTGTGTGTGTTTATGTTTGTGTTTGTGATTGTGACTGTGGTTGTGGCTGTGCTTGGGGTTGTGGTTGTGGGTGTGGGTTTGGGTGTGGGTGTGGGTGTGGGTGTGTTTCTGGTTATGTTTCTGTTTATGTTTCGGTTTGTATGTGTTTGTGTTTATGCTTGTGTTATGTATGTCTGTGCCTGGGTCTGGGTCTGTGTCTGTGTCTGTGTTTGTCTTCATGTGTTCATGGGTTCATGTGTTCATGTGTATGTTTATATGTCAGTTTGTGTTTCCATGTATGGGTATGTGTCTGTTTGTGTTTGTGTTTGTGTGTGTTCGTGGTTGTGTGTGTGTGTGTTTTCGTTTGTGTTGTTGTTTGTGAGTGTGGTTGTGGTGTGTGTTTGTTGGTGTGTGTGTGTTGGTGTGTGTGTTGGTGTGTGTGTTGGTTTGTGTGTTGGTGTGTGTGTGTGTTGACGTGTGTGTTGGTGTGTGTGAGTGTGTTGGTGTGTGTGTTGGGGTGTGTGTGTGTGTGTTGGTGTGTGCGTGCGTGCGTGCGTGCGCGCGTGCGTGCGTGCGTGCGTGCATGCGTGTGCCCGTGCGTGCGTGGGTGTGTGTGTGTGTGCGTGTGGTGCTGCGTGTGTGTGTGCTTGTGTGGTGTTGGTGTTTTGTTGTGTGTTTGTTGGTTGTGTGTTGGTTGTGTATTGGTTGTGTGTTGGTTGTGTGTTGATTGTGTGTTGGTTGTGTGTTGGTTGTGTGCTGGTTGTGTGTTGGTTGTGTGTCCGTGTGTTGTGTGTATGTTGGTTGTGCATTGGTTGTGCATTGGGTGTGTTGTCCGGATGTTGTGTGAATGTTGGTTGGGTGTTGATTGGGTGTTGGTTGTGTGTTGGTCGTGTGTTGGTTGCATGGTGGTTGTGTGTTGGTTGTGTGTTGGTTGTGTGTTGGTTGGGTGTGTGTTGGCTGCGTGTTGGTTGTGCACGTGCTGGTTGGGTGTTAGTTGTGTGTTGGTTGTGCGTCGGTTGTGTTTGATTGTGTGTTGTGTGTTGGTTGTGTGTTGGTTGTGTGTTGGTTGTGTGGTGCTTATGTATTGGTTGTATGTTCCCCAATCAGAGCTTGGCTCTGTAGGGGTCCTAGCGGATTCATATGGTATGGTTAGGTGCGCCGCCGATTTCGGCAGCACGCCCAGGTGCCCGGGTGCACGGGTGCCCAGGTGCCCGGGTTAGGTGCGCCGCCGATTTCCGCGGCCGGGTGCCCGCGTGCCTGGGTGCCCGGGTGATCAGGTGTCAGGTGCCCGGGTGCCCAGATGCCCGGGTGCCCTATAGGCCTATTGCCTTACAGCCCTATAGCCTTATAGCCCTATAGCCCCACAGCCCTATAGCCCTATAGCCCTACAGCCCTATAGCCCTATAGCTATATAGCCATGTAGCCCCATAGCCCTAGAACCCTATAGCCCAATAGCCCATAGCCCTATAACCCATAGCCCCAGAGCCCTAGAGCCCCATAGCCCTATACCCCTATTGCCCTGTAACCCTATAGCCCATAGCCCTAGAGCCCTGTAGCCCCATAGCCCCATAACCCCACAAAACATCATGATTGAAGCTTCTCTCAGGTATCATATTTGGTTGTGTGTTATGTGTGTGTGTGTGTGTCGTGTGTGTGGTGTGTGGTGATTGTGTGTTGGCTGTGTGGTGGTTGTCTGTTAGTTGTATGTTGGTTGTGTGTTATGTGTGGGTGTTGTGTGTGGTATGTGGTGTGTGTGTGTGTGTCCATGGGGGGGGTGCAGGTGTGTGCGGGTCTGCGCGGGAATGTGCGAGAACGTACGGGTGCGTGCGGGTGTGTGCGAGTATGTGCGGTTGTGTGCGGGTGTGTGCGGGTGTGTGTGTGCGGGTGTGTGCGGGTGTGTGCGGGTGTGTGCGGGTGTGTGCGTGTGTGCGGGTGTGCGTGCATGTGTGTGTGTGTTGCGTTGTGTTTGTGTGTGTTTGTGTGTGTGTGTTTGTGCGTTTGTGTTGTGTTGTGTTGTGCTGTATTGTGTGTTGCTGTGTTGTGTTGTGTTGTGTTGCGTTGCGTTGTGGTGTAGTGTGGTGTGTTGTTGTGTCGTGGTGTGTGTTGCGTGTTGTGTATGTGTGTTGAGTGTGGTGTGTGTGGCGTGTTGTGTGTTGTGTGTTGTGTATTGTGTTGTGTGTTGTCTGTGTTGTGTGTGTCGTGGGTGTTGTGTGTTGTGTGTTGTGTGTGTTGTTGCATGGGTTGTGTGTGATGTATTGTGTTGTGTTGTGTTGTGTATTTGTGTTGTGTGGTTTGTGTGTATGTGTATATGTATATGTATGTGTGTGCGAGCGTGCGTGCGTGCGTGTGTGTGTGCGCGTGCGTGTGTGGGTGCCTCTGTGTGCGTGCGTGCCTGCGTGCCTGCGTGCATGCGTACCTGCGTGCCTGCGTGCCTGCGTGACTGCGTGTCAGCGTGCCTGCGTGCGTGCGTGCGTTCGTGCGTGCGTGTGTGTTGTGTGTGTTGTGTGAATGTTCTGGCGCGTTCTCCTTTCTGTTCCAAGCACCCCCTTTCAATGCCCCCTCATCCGCGCAGATACCTCTGGCCAATGATACGCTACGGCCAGACCGAAGTAGAAGATCGAGGTCGGTTCGGGGAGGGTACCCTAGACTTCGTCGTGCTTGTTGGATATTCTTGCGCATTATGGATGAAGGTACTCTTCACGGTTCTTCAGTTTTGCAGGCGGAGGGTTTCATACTCTTGAAGGATGTCATTATATCTTTGGTCGGGCTGTACTAAGGAACCGAACAATGGCATAAGTATACAAACTCGGAGGTCCGCGCGGATTTCTCGGATCGGCGCTGGGGCCCCCTGGCGACGCCTCCGGCGCCGCCTTTGGCGCCGGAGGCGCGCCAAAGAGGGGGGTCAGCGCCGATCCGAGAAATCGAACCTCCGAGCTTTTATGTTTATGCTATTCTTCGTTCCCCTGGGGCTGTACCCCCCTTCTTCCTGGTCCTCCTCTTCCAGCGCACCCGAACATGACCCCTTCCTTTCCGCCCGCTGCTGCTGCATCGCCGCCCGCTGCGCGGCCGCCGCAGGCCAACCTCTCGTCGCCCAAGGCTCCAGGGCCCACCGGGCACGCAGACTGAATTCGCAGGTCGGCGGGTTGGGGGGGGGACCTCCTCCTCCTCCTCCTCCTCCTCCTCCTCCTCCTCCTCCTCCTCCTCCTCCTCCTCCTCCTCCTCCTCCTCCTCCTGCTGCTGCTGCTGCGCTCCCGCTGGCGGACGCACACGTCCGTAGTGTCAAGCGGCCGCGGGTCGCCCGCGGCCGCGCCCGAGCGTCGCCACCTCGCCGTCGGAGAGAGAACCTGATCATCATCATCGTCGTCGAATGGAGGGAGGACGAGCGAGGGGCGACATCGACACGACCAGCCCCCCGCCAGGCTGTGTTCTGGACGGGGGGCTGACACATCGTCACAGCCCCCCTGGAGGCATTGGGCCCATGGGGGGGGCCCCGCCGCTCCTCCAGGGGGGCTGACAGCAGCTCCGTCACTCAGACGGTGCCACTCTGCATGCCCACGTGGACCGCGAGAAGGTCATCCTCCCGCACCATCCAGTAACATGCGCCGCGTCCATGCCGTCGGCGCAGCTGATGTGGTTCGAAGGCTATCTCCCTCAACACATCCATCAGAGAACTCTCCAACAATCGGCCATGCTACGACCGCTGCCTTGAAATAAAAACAAATGTCTGCATGACGGCATATCTGAAAAAAGAAATACTACAGCTCTAATAATAGTCGCCATTCGATTCTTCGCCCGACGTCCCTCACCAAATGTGGAGTCACTGCACCACTCTCTCTCTCTTGCCATCTCACTGCTGGTAGGTGACCAGTAATCGCAGCAACCCGTCCTGACAGTATTCGCTGAACTAGTTTGTGGTTCACCCCCTTAGCCATAACTTCGTTGTAATCGAACGTACTCGCATGATAATCCAACCGTCTCATGCCAAGTTCATGTACCTCATCAGTGTCTGGCCAATATCGGGCCGAGTCATCATCATGAAAGACAATCCATTCAAGTGTAGTATCTGCCTGAAGTGCCACCCTTGGTATATGTAACTGCGCCCTGCTGTCACCAGGGACCGAAACACTCGGTGGGGTCAACGATTCCACATGAAAGCCACCACCACGAGTATAATCTGGGCCACGCACCGGCGGACATAGGGCCTTAGCCTCCGAGAAACCAATCACCCGCAGACATGCCGCATCACGTGTATCCTCTATGTCTAGTTCGTCTGCACGTTCTTCCGACAAGGGTGACCTCGTGAGCCGCATGAAGTCCAAACATCCCGTCTCTCTGTACTTCAGGTGGTACAGCAAGCGCTTCCGCGTATGAAAGTTCGTGTCACATCCATAGCAATAACCAGACTCAGCATATAACCGTGCATCCGTTAGCCCACCATGTTCTTTTGTTCGGTGCATTCGCCACGCTCGCTGGGAAAACAACACCTCCCCGCATTCATAGCAGATATAGCCCTGTCTCTCGACAGGTTCTCCATTCTCGGTTTGATTGACCGCGATCATTAATTCCTTCCAAACCTGTTTTTGGCAACAATCATGATAAATATCCGAGTATCTCACCCATGCAGTAGAACACATATTGAGGTATTTGTTTGGCTCATTCCGAATAAACAAAACCCACTGCTCAAGAGACCACTGATCACCCTTGACAGCCACTGACGACAACCACTCCAAGTCCATTCGTATCATACCAAGCCACTGATCGTCCACACCCTGTACCGCCAGTAATACTCGCAGCGTAGCTGGCCCCATATGCACAATCCTCTCGAAATATCGCAATCTGCGTTGTCTCTGTATCGCCGACCAGTGAGGGCGTCTGACTTGACACATGACCTGCATGTCAGTAAACCGTGCCTCCGATGCAGTGGTGTGTGTCATGCCCGCCACGGCTCTCAGGGCCTTCACGTAAGTCGCATTGATGTGCCTCTCATTTTGATCTCCAATATTCGTCCACACCTCCATCTGCTGGAATAATCTCGAAAAAGCTAGGATCTCAATGTACCTGATCTTTGATAGAAGCTGCATCCCACGCCTTGGTAAGATAGCCCTACGGATGGGCCCCATCGCATGTTCGTGTTGCTGAACCCGCCTGTTGATCTCTGGTCTCATCGATGCATCAAATGGCACTATTGCCCCCATATGTTTATATTGGCGCTCTACTGAAAACTGGAAACCATATCCCTCACTTTTCAGCTGCAAACCTGCCTCCCCATATAGCACATGACGTAGTTGCCCCCGTCCTTGTCCCCGAAGTTGTACCAGCACTCCCGTTTTACCCTTCCCATAATTCGGCTCCATACAATGAGAAACGAATACCATGTGTAGTATATCCATGGCCTTACAGACGTAATCCAGCACCTCCGAGTTGGGAACAATCATCGGCAACATCACATCATCAACGAATGTCACATCCGTGATAGGCTCCAGCATGTCCGTCGACCTCAAAAGCTCAGGAGCTCGGATCTCATCTTGCCCAAATGTGAGAGCCAGCCCCTTGTCACGAAGCTGTTCTTCCACCATCTGTAACGGACGAGTGAAGACTACGTTGAATAGATAGTCCGCAGTAGCACACCCAGGACGCACCCCTCGAGTAGGTACCGCAAGTTTGTCACACTGGCTTACCTCAAAACAAGTCATTCTCTGAGATTCTGCCACCAATGCCGCCATGTGTGGGTCGACGTATTCATTGTCGAGTAGTGCAGGCTTCGCCAGGATCTCGTTGGCCAGCGGAATGAGACAAATGGGAACGTCACTATCGTCTAGTATCCTGTTCGGTTCATCATCAAGATACCCCAGACGGCTAGCCAGCTGACGCACCACTCTATGAAAGGCAGCTTTCAAGTCCAGAAAAATAAATACTGCCGGTCTTCCAGTCCGATTCGCAATATCGGACACCAGTCGTGCTTGGTGAGATGCCATTGTCGGTGATCGCCCTGTCCGCCCACCAAGCTGTGAGTCACGCAATAAAAAATCCACCGTATGAGACAACCGTTCTCGTAGGAATCGGTAATGATGCTTGGCTACAATATTGCAAATTGTCACTGCACGGTAAGCCTTGTTCTGCGATGGATCCCCCCCGCTCTTAGCCACCTCGCCCAGCCGTGAATGCTTGAATCCAATCGGTTCCCTGCCTGTCAGGGAACTCTTCACAAGCAGTGGGTGTAACAACCGAGCAAATTGATGAGGTGCCGCCTGAAGCAGTTCCTCTTGGATACCATCGCTGCCTGCTGCCTTACGACGAGGTCCACGCTGAAAACGTCGTTCGATGTCGGTTATCGTCGGCACATTCTCAATGTTCAGCTCAGTTGTACGCAACCCCATGCTCGGATGTTGGTAGTATTGCTGCAAATACTTCGTCGTATCCATCACCTCAGCATCCTCGAGCTTGGAGTAGACCTGCATCCTATTGTTGCCCATTGCTTCATCCGTCGCTAGAACCTCACCATCGTCGTTGACACGATATGGCAGGATCGATCCGTCGGAATACCGCGGATGCTGTCGCCCTCCACACCGTAGTAGCCGCTTCGCCGCCTGCCACGACCGACGATGGTCGCCAATCAAGGCATTCTCCTTGATGGACTCGGCATATTTGTCAAGTCGATCCGCCCTTTCATCGTCAAGCCTTCGCGTCAAGATCGTAGCCGTCCTCCTCAAGAACGCATCTAATTGAGCCTTGAACTCGGCGTCCCCCCATATCTCCGCATTTCGGAAACCAACGCCTAGCAGCAGCCTCTGTGACTCTTCATACCATGGGTCCCCTTCATTAGCGTACAGGTGAAATTGGGCAGGTAAAAAAAGACAGAGATTGGAGAATGCCCTCGGCTCCTTCCGATGAAATTTCCGACATGCAATGACTGCATATCTTCTTAGTCGTATCAATTGCATGGTGTTCCTCGATATGTATGGCTGATGTGGCGCGAGTAAGTCACGTCCAAATACTGCAGCAGCCTCCTTCTTCACAACCCCAACCACGTCCTTGTATTACACATTTACATCAACATTCCATCTCACCGAGTCATGCTTCTGCAGCCGTAACCGAAATTCCTCACGTCGTTCAGGATCCTCCATTTTCTCGAACGACAATGCAAGATGCCTCCGTTCATTCGACGGCGCTGCAATATGCTGCCCAAACACTTTAACCACCACGGGACGATGATCCTCCTTTGTGAGGCCCGTATCCAAATCCTCAATAACCCTACAACGCTTTAGAATATGATACCAGCGTTGGGCGAGCCCCAGATAGCCCGTTCGGTGTTTCACCGCGCCGTCAGTATATGTCCAGCTCGTCTCCTCGCCAATCAGTGTATTCACTAAATACACCTCAAACCTCGTCGCAAAATCCACCAATCTTCTCCCAGAGTCATCCGTCTTGTTATGTGGAGGGCATGCGCCAACATATGGTAGCTCAGCAGCTTCAGCATCAATCCGACCATTTGCATCCATCATATAGACAGCGCTCTGAAATCGTTCATTGATCTCAACAGTTTTGTCCCACCATTCTTTGCGTGACTGGATGTTCTGTCCCCTCTGTGGTGCATGTAATACAGCCACTCGGATATCAAGATGAGGTGCCTTTATATGAACTATTAGCCGCGTCGGATCCTTGTGTAGTACACGCAAGTGCCGCGCTTGAAGGCAAAAAACCTTGTTCTTCGTCGTAGCGTATGGTATGTTTGTTGAAACCAACAGTGCACATCCATGCCCACCAGCATCAGCCCCAGATCTCAACGTGATATACCCATCAGCCCATTGCTGTCCTTCACGTCCTCTTGCCTTCTGCAGCCCAATAAGTACCAGTTGTTCGTCTTGAGACTGCATCCGAAGCCTTTGAAGTCTGCGTCGTTTTTGATCCCGCTGATGCCTATTCAGCTTGCTTGATCTTGCTTCAGTAAATGACATGACGTTATACGTTGCCATGGAAAAGTGCATCTGCGCTGATGTCTGCTTGCGATTCCCTGCTGCACCATCCGTAATACCATCACCTGCTATTGGACAGAGTGCGCCTTTGAAGTCATCCATGCTGCTCATGTTGGGAGCCACTTTCTCCCATTGCGGTATCGGAAAATGCAA